AATGCACAGTGCTTGAGGTTGCCAAGTCCAGGTTGTGAAATTCCTGCAGTTTTTTTGGGGTGTGTGAATCTTGGAGAAGGTGGAGTTTGGGGAGGGGGGAGACCTCAGCAGGGCATCATGCTACAGAGCCCTCCAAAGCAGCCGTTTTCTCCGGGGGGGGGGCTGATCTCTGTCATCTGGCGATCAGTTGTAATTCCAGGAGATCTCCAGGCCCCACCTGGAGGTTGGCAAGCCTAAAAGCAATGCCCTGGAGATTTTGGCCCGCATGTCTACACATTCATGCATACACATACCAGGAAATATTCTTGCTCGGCAGGAGGTTTGCTTAGGGTTGCCAGGTCTGGGTTGGAAAATACCTGGAGACTTTGGGGGTGGATCCGGGAGAGGGCGGGGTTTGGGGAGGGGAGGGGCCTCCACATGGCGCAATGCCATATAGAGCTCACCCTTCAAAGCAGCCGTTTTCTCCAGGGGAGCTGATCTCTGTCAGCTGGAGATCGGTTGAAAAAGCGGGAGATCTCCAGGCCCCACCTGGAGGGTGGCAACCCTAAGTTTGCTTCTGACAACTGCTTGAGAAAACTGAAGGGGGAGAGGTCTACAAGTGGGACCAGAGGCCAGGGGGAAGTCATTTCATGGCTGACAGTATCTAGGGATCCCCCATTCCACACATACCCAGAGCTCTTCAAGGAACTGAATTCCTCTACCTTGTAAGCCATGGCCTCCAAACACCGGAAGTGTATCATGCTGAGTCCACAGCACCATTTCTTGCATGAAACTGGAGGCGACATCATCGAGGCAGGAAGGCAGGTATAAGAGCATAAGAACAGCCCTGCTGGATCAGACCAGGGAGGATCCATCTAGTCCAGCATCCCGTCTCACACAGGGGCCAGCCAGTTCCTCTGGAGGGTCAACAACAGGGCAGAGAGGCCGAGGCCTTCCCCTGAGAAGGACACCAGAAGAGCCCTGCTGGGTCAGACCAGTGAGGGTCCATCTAGTCTCAGAGCGGCTTACAAACTCCTTTCCCTTCCCCTCCTCGCAACAGACACCCTGTGAGGGAGGTGGGGCTGAGAGAGCACTTTCAAGGACTGCTCCTGAGAGAACAGCTCTGAGAGGAGTGGTGACTGAACAGGAGGAGATTGGATTTATACCCCACCCTTCACTACCCAAAGGAGTCTCAGAGCGGTTTACAAACTCCGTTCCCTCCCCCTCCCCACAACAGACACCCTGTAAAAGAAGAAGAAGAAGAGATTGGATTTATATCCCGCCCTTCACTACCCAAAGGTGTCTCAGAGCGGCTGACAAACTCCTTTCCCTTCCCCTCCCCACAATAGGCACCCTGTGAGGCAGGTGGGGCTGAGAGAGCTCTGACAGAAACTGCCCTTGGGAGAACAACTCATATATATACATATATACTAAAATGACAGCTATACAATGACCATATGTGATAATAATTAATATCTTAAGTCAAAGCTTTTCTCTTATTCAAGTTAAGAATAAAAATTCTGTTCTGTTGTTTCGATATGCAAAACATTAAAATTTTTGACCATGCAAGATTATGTAATGCAATATAAACATTTCTTCTAAAGAGCTTAAGCTGTTTTCTGCCTTTCCCTCCTCTCTCCTTGCTTTTATCATCCCGGGGTGGTTTGGGAGCTGCCGCTCCCAATTCTGATTCAGATTCTACTTCTGAGCTCCTCTCTTCTCACGGACACGTGAAGCTGCCTTATACCAAGTCGAGTCTATGAAGTCCAATGTTGTCCGCCCTGACTGGCAGCGACGCAAGCAAAGCGCTTTCATGTCACCTACCATCTGGCCGCCTTGACCCGGATCGCCCGGGCTACCCCAGTCTTGTCAGATCTCAGAAGTGAGGCAGGGTCGGCCCCGGTTAGTACTTGGATGGGTAGACCCCCAAGGAAATCCAAGGTTGCTTTGCAGAGGCAGGCAAGGGCAAAACCACCTCTGTCCATCTCTTGCCCTGATCTGGATGTCTCGGGCTAGACAATCTCATCAGCTCTTGGAAGCTCCCCGTTTTTTAAAGTAATCACAAAGTGGTATTTAACTCCTCAAAAAATGAGCCGTACTCTAAAAGGCGCCTCTTCATTATGCTGGAGGGGATGACAAGAGACGGGCTCATCTAAACATGGTTGGTGGGACTGCACCGTGGTACAAAAATTCTGGAAAGCGGTTACTAAATATATATATGAGATAACTCACTTTGAAATACTCGTGGGAGTGGAATTCCTTATACTGAATTGTTGGCCAGATGTTAACCAACACTCATCTAATTCGGATCTGATAGAAATACTTTGTGCGGCAGCACGTGCAGTTATCGCTGGGTTTTGGAAACATGATAAATATCCTACGATCTCTGACTGGTTATCAAAAATTCCGTGGACTCGCGGAGGGGCGCGGTGACGTGGAGGCGCAGGCGCGGCGGAGCCGGAAATGGACGTTGGCCGGGCTGCGACTGACACAGGCCGCACGCCAGGAGACCACCGAGCTGAAGAACCTGCTCCTGGACACCAGAAACGGGACGTCGACCCCGAAGACCGCCGGAGGAAGAAGCCGGAGAACAACGAGCCCTGCCACCTGGGTGCCAGTAGGCAGCCCCACCCCTGTACTATGTGGCCTTAGATAGGGATTGAATTGTATTTGAAACTTGCCTGTAAACCGCTCAGAGACCCTTCGGGGTCAGAGCGGTATATAAGTCGAATGTATAAATAAATAAATAAATAAATAAATAAATAAAGAAAGAAAGAAAGAAAGAAAGAAA